GGGATACAAATAAAGAAGATGTTTGAAATGTTCTTTTAAATTAATTTGGTTTTTTGAATCCAGATTTATAATCTCTAGGGCGAATTTAAGAGCCAACATTATTTTGTTCTATGTATTGTAAGCTTCTAGAAAAAACCTTGTTATCCAATGCAGCTGTGGTGTGTGAAATGGGAAAACGGCACCACTGTAAGCCGTGGTTGCGCCGATGTCGTTTTGTGTCCAGACGAGGAAGATGGGTTGGTGAACAAGCAAATACGGCAATTTATGGTCATGATTCTTCTTTAGGTGCTTCCCCGAACATGACAAGGATGCGACAGTAAAATGGTGCTGTTGCAATGAAGATCTTTGCAATTCTTCTGCGAGTCCCCACTTATTATTTTTCTTGTCGATGTTTTCAGTGTATATGCTGTTTTTGTTATAAATTCTCAATGTGTAGACTGATGTAAGCAAAATTCCCAGGGAATTTCTTTTCAAATTTCTACCCAGGATGAACCTCGAGATGTCGTACACTACGCATATTCTCGTCTCCCTCCTCTCGCTCTTTCCTTCCTCCAAATCTTCAAAAGGAATGGATCTTCTCCGTGCTCCCTCCCACTCCTTCTTGTCTTGCTAGATAAAAGTTTGAAAAAAAGTTCATCACGGAATAAAAGCATGTGCTGAGGTACAGAAGGTACATACCTTCAAAATTTCGCAGTGTTGACATTAGAGCGCGGTACGAATTGATAGAGCAAAAAGCAGCCAACGGTTTTTCAATAGTTTTATTCATTGTTTGGTGCATTTAATTCCTGATTTTAGGTTAAGCCCGCACGATGACTAATTTCCATCGTCGAGTAAGCTGTCCAATCTTTTCTATTTTCAGGGGTTTTTCAAGTAAGAAGAAGTACTCATGCTGTTTGTTTTGTGAAGGCATGCTATAATACAAGATACCGAAGTATTTTCACTCTTTCCGGTTTCGTGGCTAAGAACTAGGCCGATAGTGCGACCGATTTTGCTACTCCCGGGTTGGAAACCCTTTCATCATTGATTCCCAAGAAAGCTGAGAAAAGTTGACAAAAGTTATGCAGTACTAACTAGTAGGTTGATGCATAATTATCCGGACTTTTTTTGCGTGCTTGTATCTTTTTTTGTTTTGAAAGCTTTTTGT